CAGGTCGAAAGTCTCGTGAGGAGTCGATTTAGCTCAACATAGACCGGGCAATCATGATTGTGTAGATGGACTTGTCGGCTACACATAGGAAAAAGCAAAATTAGATTTCGAGTTCGGATGAACCCGGACGGAGCCAAAGCGTGAAGTCGCGCGAAGTCGCGTGCGAACGTCTCTAGTGTGATGGTCAAGAGCTTCGGGAGAACCGGTTTTCGAGAATCTTGTGGGAAAGCTGACACCATTGGATAGAGAGGTTCGTTAGCTACGCGTAGGAAAAAACGGAACTCAATTCCGACTTCAAAAGAGCCCGAACGAGCCCGAAACGTAAAGCCGCGCACAACAGAATTTTCTCCGCGGACAGCAGCTAAAAGTCGCGGCCGCGGGACTCCAAGTCGCGGCCGCGGAAGTCAAAAATCCCAGTTTTTTTTTATATGGCTTTTGAGCTCGGAAAATGGGAGGAGTGGCCTAAAATCCGGGAGTGAGGTGGCTAATGAAGGGAAAATCATAGGGAAGGGGGAGGAGCATGTTTTTTGGTCCCCTTGGAACCCCCCAACACCATTTTCTCTCTTCAATCATCACTCTCCTTCATCACCATTCTCCCTCTCCATTCTTCTTCTCCCTTCTTTTTCTTCTTCTTCTTCTTTTTACTTCTTTTCCCTTCTTTTCTTTTCTTCTTCATTTTGGATGAAGCTTGTATTGTGGATTCAACACTTGGATTGAGATTAATTGTAAGTTTTTCTTCTTGTTTGATTCATGAGAATGATTGAATTTGGAGAAATGATTTATTGTGTTGAATTTATTGTATGTAGCTAATCCTCTAGCTAGGGGTAGGGAATAATCATTCCGGTTTAAGCACGTTTATGTGCATGACGATAGCTCAATCTTGACGAGTTGTTTTAATTATGAATTGATAAATTAAACTTGGTAAATGTTTATAACCTAAGAGTGACACTTAGGTTAATTTGTTGATATAATCAAAGAGTGACAATTTGATTTGTGCTTGAACATGGATTTGTTAAGTTAAAGTTTGTTAATTCTTTGAATTGCGACTTTTAGAACCGAAAGGGGAGGAGTCGTAGAAATAATCGATTTCATAACCGAGAGGGGAGATATTGATGGAATTTGGCTCTTAAAGAGTAGGCATAACCGGAGACGTATTGTCTATGTGTTGATTGTCTCGTTTAATTGCTCGTTTATGATTTCTCTATCTACCGCGTAATGCTATGATGGTTGAGTCGTTAAACGAGTGGATGAGTCGAGGCCGTTAACCGAGTTATTGATTGCCATTAAATGAGTGTAGAACCATAAGCGATTATTCCCGATTCCCTAGCATATTTATCTTTTCGTTGTTTATATTTTTAGGTAGATTATTGTTTTATGTTATTGTCTTAGTTAATCATCTTCCACCCCTATCATGATTAGAATGTTTAGGCTTTGTTTTCATTTTATGTGTTATCAACACCAATATTAAATTCTGAAGAGTCTTCCTCGAGAGATCGACCCGAGAAACGAATCATTCGATTCGGTGCTCGGTAAAAGAAAATAATTTGTCTACAACAAATTATGACACGCATTGGTGTTATAATTGTACAACTCTAAAAAGAGATTCAAGTAGATTGGTAAAGTAAAAAATACTTCTTCTAGTAGATGCTCGATCTACAAGTCGAGATAATACTCTTTGGTATTTAACCAAGAGTTTCATTCTTACTCCGTCTATAAGCATGACCTAACTTATTTAATCTTTTACATAGTGTTCATCACATAATTTATTTGATAGAGATGACCAATTTGTATATTATCATTATACACAAGATTCTACCTTGAATTTCTTACTTTACTTTTTCAGGAAGAATTTAGTTGGTTGTACTACATCTTATCAACAACTTTAAATAATTAAATGATTTATTATTTAATTACCTTTCATCTCGGTTAATTGAGTCCATCTAGGACTTTCACATATTACTCAGTAGTCATTGTAATATTGTTGCCATAAATATTAACTTGCAGAATAATTGATAATGAGAAAATTTATCTAAATAATTTTTTTGGGTCTCTGCGTAAACCCATGAGCATAATCTCGCTATATTTACATCACACCACCATATCACATATTTCATATAACTATTCATTAGCCTTCTGGAATATGTTATCTTCCTTGGATTTATCGTGTAGCGAGTAAAAGCTCTATCTCTACTTTTCTTTTTATCTCAATCAATCTAAGCGCTTCAAGCACTTTCATTCTTTTGACCTGGATCATTATTTGAGATAATAAAGAAATCACAAAGGCAAGTATGTTGCAACTATGATATTCAATTTATATTTTTCTCTCAACCATATATGCAACTTCATATTTACTAGCCATATTTATAATAATTTCTCATAACATGTAGATTTTTGCCGTTCCGCATTCTAGTACTATAATGATTTGATGCACGTGCAAGAGGTACTGAATCAACTATTCAGGAGTTTTTTAAAAATGAGTGTTAATTCTTGAATATACATTTTCCGCAGATTTTCATATATCATATATTAATTATATCACCTTATACTTTTAGCGTTAAGAAGTCAATCATTCCCTTGAGAATTTGCTTACTTTGTGGTACATCTATATATTTACAAATTGGTCACTGCATTATTAATATAGATTTCGTTTGGCATAACTATAATATAAACTTCAAATTCAATTTTTATTGCGTGGTTTCAAATAATGAAAACATCATTATTTCACATATTCACGACATTAATAAACATATGCTTATATCTCCCCCTAATGCCGTGAAATCCACTTCATATATTATGCAAAATACATACCAAATAATAAATTGATCCCCTATAATGACATCTAGGTATTAAAAATTCGACGGAGTATAAAATCATAGCATACTTAGTCTGTAATATAGGCACATAAATGTACGAATTAGTGGTGATATATAATGGTGAGTAATAAAATAATAATAAAACATATGAGAAATATTCAATTCTCCACACGCACCATTTTGAGAAAAATTATAATACATAATTGCTCAATATGATCCAACTGCTCATGCTAATTATCTATATATATATAATTGTTGGCAATGAAATATAATAATTTATTTTTAAGTGAACACTATATGTTTACAATTGAACACTATATGCTTAGACAAAACAACCGAACTTTGGTTGAAAGTCTTTTATTATAGCTACTAGTATGTATTTATTTTTAAGGAGATGCTACGGTCCCGTTACGGAATCATTTCGTCGGGGTTTGTAATTATTAGATCAGCTATCCCTGACGGTTACATGATGATCTAACGGTTATAAACCCCGACGAAATAGTTCCGTAATGAGACCGTAGCATTTTTCTTATTTTTAATAAAAAAAAAGAGCTTGTGGTTCAAGTTCTACATATAAATATTGTAGATATCTTGGTACTCATATATCTAATAAAGGAAATCGACAAGATAGTTTATAACTTACTAGTGCGTGGCCCGTGCGATGCACGGGAAAACAATATTTTGATTGTATTATAAATTAAATAAATAAATAACATTAATCATGATTCACCTATTATTTTTAAATTAAATCGGGTTGGACACAGTCCGACCGGATGGACCGAGAACTGGTTTATAACCAGTCTAGTGCGCTTGAATAAAATATTTGCTATCGAATCCGTCAACACCAGTCTGTTGGACTGATAGGATCGATAGGATTTCCTAAACAAATTTTGTTACATTAAAAATTATTTTAAATAAAATTACATATTTAAATAAAATAGAGATTTAAAATTGTTTATCAATTAGTTTAAACATTTGAATTTATAAATTGTTTAGATATTTAAGTAACAATTTTTATTTAAATTTACTACAAAAAGTACTATATATACACTAAAGTATAATGTATTAAAATATGAACAACCACAAATGATTTAATAAAATAACTTGATCGTTTCGATGACGGTCCGGTTCTGAAAACCTTATATTTACCGTACATTAATATAAATTATAATAAAATAATTATTTTGTTCACATAAATAATAATAAAATTATATATAAATATTCATAAATCATTAATGATGTATGATTATTTGAGGTTTGGACTACATCACATTCACGTAATAAAGTATTTTTAATATTAAAATTTATATTTAGGTTCAATAATCGATTTGGTGTGGTCAAACTGATACATAACTTAGTTACCTAGGACCAACCAAGTTGTGTCAAGTTTTTTTACTATTTTAAATATCACTTAAAAGTAATTCAATCAACATGGGCAGTACCCTAATTCAATCACCCGATTGATCCAAAGTAATTTCCTTATTTTCTTTAAATATAATATTTAATTTTATGAAATTAAAAGATTTTATGATTCATATGTCTACACCAAATGATAGTATATTAAGAATATAAATTATATATCTAAAGATGAATTATTTATTTTTATTTTATGCATATTAATAAAAAATAAACATAGTAATTTAAAAAAAAAATCAAGATTAATTGATTGGGTATGCAATTTAAAAAATATTTTTAGTGTTCAATATATATATATATATATATATATATATATACGTGTAACATGATTGAATTTTTGGATTAGAATATATATATTTAAATTGATTTTATTATTAAAAGTCAAAAAGAAAAAATATCATAAAGATTACAACTTTAAAAAGTTTGTAACCATTAATTTAGGAACCATCCGATTTTAAATGATTTATAATTTTTGAAACATGATACGTACTTTGAAAAGTTTGTAACCATTAATTTAGGAACCATCCGATTTTAAATGATTTATAATTTTTTAAACATGATACGTGAATTTAAAACCCATTAATTTAGGAACCATCCAATTTTTTGATAATGAATTAAAATTAAAATGTAAAATAAAAAAATTGTTGAAAATAGTATATAATAAATGTGGGTTGACTTTACCTTACTACTATTTATGGTAATGTTAATTATTATTATATAGATATAAATATAGATATAGATAATGCGAAAATATGTATGCTTTCAGGTTTCAACCCTAATGCCCACCTCTAGAACATTTGGTCATCTTTCTTTCCCCTCTCTACAGCCTTCCACAGTTTCATCCCGCCAGAACATAAGCCCTTCGAAAAGAAACATACGACGTCGTTCAGGACAAACCCTCATCTAAATTTCCCCTCGTCGGCCATTCACAACACCAGCCATGGCTGCAGCAGGTTCCTCTTTCTCTACTTCAATCTTCGACTTCAAAAACTCCGGCCCGCCAGATGACACGGTTTTCTACTCCATCTTCCCAGACTCTTCCCTCATCTCATCCTCCTCCACCGCCGAGCTCCAGTCACTCCACCTCCGAATCCTCCACCACATCGCACCGTTCACCGGCCCGTACATCTGGCAGCACCAACCATTCTCTCTCTCCATCGCCCCAACCCCCGTGCCTCACCTCGCCGGCCACCTCCGTTTCGGGGACAACCTAGAGGACGAGTGGTTCACCGTCTTCCTCCTCTTCGAGATCTCCAGGGCCTTCCGCGAACTCTCCATCCGCGTCTGGGACTCTGACGGCGAGTTCCTCCTGATTGAGTCCGCCTTCCACCTCCCGAAATGGCTGGACCCGGACACCTCCGGCAATCGCGTCTTCATTCGCCGTGGTCTCCTCCACATCATCCCGAGATCGATTTTCCCCTCGACACCAAATCTTGAAGATGCTCTGCGATTTCTAGCCAACTCAGGGGATGATTCAGTTACGCGGGCCCCAGATGCCGTTCAGCTGCAATTGAGGAGGAAAATTGGCGAGTATCCCGATCGCGCATACAGGAACGTGCACAGAGTTAGGGTTAGGTTGCCAATTTCAGTGGCGTGGGTGTTGAGGCACGAGCCCAGCTTGATTTCGTTGGCGGTCGAGGGGTTTTATGACAGAGATATTGACACTATGAAGTACGCTGCTAAAATGGAGAAGTTTTTGCCCAATGGGAAAGCAGAGGAGATGGTGGAGGTGGTGGTGAGGATGTCGAGGGCGATGTACGCACAGCTGATGCAGCAAAAGTTTCTGGCTCCGAGTTGCTTCCCCATGCCGGATAGGAGCAATGGAGGAAAATATATGGAGGCAGAATTGGGCATGAAGATTACTTGTGGTTTTGAGATGATGTATCAATTGAGAAAGAAGAAAGGGGATGAAGGGAAGGGGAGTACGTGGGAAGCTTTCATGGGGAGCTTGGAGAGTAGCGGTTATTTTGAGGGGTTGTTGCCAGGGTCAAAGGAATACAGGAGGTTGATGGAGAATGCGGAGGGGTACTACCGGAATAGTTCACTGCACATTAGGGCCAGGTACTTGGTTTTTATACGCTTTTTGTTGTTGCTTTGGAACTGTGGCTGATTGATTGCTGTGTTTTTTACTTTTTAGTGTAATTTGATTCTAGTTTGATGTGTTGATTCTCTGTACATAGATATTCTAATAAATATTGGTTTATCAATGAGGGATTGATCTATAATTGTGTTCAAAGTCTAGGACTGCATTTATGTTTGGCCCCGATTAAGTTCTTGGAAATTTCGTATTTTGATAGTCTCAAAATGGTTTTTTTTTTTTGGTTGCTGTTCTTTAGGCATGCTTTTCCGGTTTTATTCATGTGCTAGTTTAATAAATATTACTTTTGGTGCCGATGTTATGCATGCAGATATTTCTAGCTGCGCACCTATTCAAAGATCTATCTTCTGCAATTAATTGTTACTTTTATATATATTGTACTGTTAATATAATAGTCATCCCTGGGACTGTGGTGACATTCCTCTTTTCTTACAGAGAAGTATTAAGTGCACCCATTAGATGCATAGATGAAGTTCTCGCACTTCCTCATTCAGCTGATGATTTCCAGAATCACGAGCTACCTCCATCAGATGATGATTCATGGCTGTATGGTGGTGAAGATGAATTAAATGCTGCTCTTCAGGATAGGCAAAAGGAGATGGAAATTTACAATCTGGAACAAAAGAAGAAAAACAAGGGAAAAGAGCAGCATGAGGAAGGTGCTTCAGCATCTGGGAAGGATTTTGACGAGTATGATCTTGGGGGGATCGCTAAATCCATGAAGGCATTTGTTAAGAAAATCTCTAGTTATGAAGGAGCTGAGGTTCCAAATGACAGGTTCATCCTTCCCCTTTCTCTTGCATCCGTCCTTCCCTTTGTTCTTGCATTTTTTATGTGTTGACTATTTTTATTATCTAAGATGAAAATTAGGGCCATATTCTGTTTCGTTCTGTCCTACCTTATCAAAATTTTCATTTATGTGTGCTATTTGGTGCAGCTGGTGCAGGAGCTTTCATGGTTCCCTGCTTTTTTCTTTTTTCTTTTATGTAAGTTAGGATAGATGCATGATTGACTACTGCTCTTAATTGAATGCAACATATTATTTTGTCTCTTCAGAGGCTAGGATGCCTCTTCTTATGAGTTAGGGAAGATTACTCTTGCTGTGTTGCAACAGTGTGTCCTTTTATTTTCTGATGTCTAAATGTAGATGCTCGAGCAGCTTTTGAAAAGTGCATATTACTGAATTTTATTTATGTGCTATTGGTTGTGCGAAGGAGTATATGTCAATTATATGTTAGCAACTTATGTCTTCAACTATTTATCTAAATTCTACTCTTCTATTTTCAGCAACATGAAAGATGTGGAGTTTGATGTGGATCAATTTATGAAAGACATGGAAACTGTAATGGGGCAGCGTGGCTCTGAAGATAATGACAGTGATCTTGATGTTAATGTTGATGAAGGATTATCTTCAGACCTTGATTTTGGTAAACTTTTGAATACTGCTTTGTGTTGAATCTGAATAAGTCCGATTTCTAAAGCTGTACCAGTAACTATACAACAATGCTTATTATACTACAAGAGCTTGTAAGTTTATGATTATGTTGAGACTGTTTTTCTGCTGCAAGTGTATTTAGATTCAGAGTTAAAACTCTGAAAATCATTGTTTAATTTGTTTTCACTGAGAAAAGAAGGAAATATTTGTATGACAAAATTTAGTACTCAAACATGTGACATGTCACTATTGTAGTTGATAGGATATTATTGCTAGTACGTGAACAGGATTGATGTTGTATACTTGAGGTTGTACTTGGTGCACATCCCTTTGTTTCAGGCAGTTCACATTGCAAGAGTTTCTTTAATTTCCAAAATGTGCTTGTGTCCATTGTGTATGATACCTTATATATACTAACGCACAAAAACTTGCAGATGATTATGAGGATAAGAGTGAGCATTCAGAGGATAATGAAGAGGGAGGAGATGAGTTCATGCGTTCCTATTCCGATGTTCTAAACAAGGAATTGAAGGCTACCACACTTGATAAGACCTTTGTTCATGCTCAAGACCAATCTTCTAAGAAGAATGACGAGGCAAGTAAAATTAAACTGACATAACAGCATTACAGCTAGGATTCATATCCAATTTTTTGTACTAATTTAAACGTATCGCCTTGTGATTTTACCATTTCACTGAGCATAGAAGCTATAACTTGTGCATTAGTAAAGAAAGAATTAGTTTATACAAGCAGATTCACAAATGGTTACCGAAAGAATTTATAGTTATTTCGTTTTTTCTTTTTTGTTTTTCTTTTTGGGTTAAATGAAAATAACTTTTGGCTAAATCTACACAACAAATGCAGGGAACTTCAACTGGTAATAATGACATGGATGAGTTCACCCCAGTGGATGTCGATATGAACTTGGTAAAAAATTTCCTCGATTCTTATTCTTCTCAAGAAGGATTGTCTGGCCCTGCTTCCAATCTTCTAGGACTCATGGGTTTAAGGTTGCCTGATGATGCTGGCAAAGGCAAATGATAGTCTGTTATTCACTTCAGTATAGGATCTTCAATATCTTAAAACACTGTTTATGAAATACAGCATGTAACTGTTAGAATGTATGAGCTACTTGGTATTTATTTCTGGTTAGGGATTGATATATGACAATGACTATTCATACCACAAAGGATTTACCTGGGCCCAAGAAGTTGGGGGTTTGTAATTCTTATGATGCGTGTGTTTGTAAGACCAGTATTAAAATACTAAAATAAAACAAACGGCAACTGATAGTGTGTTGAAAATTTGAATTTAAATTTGATATGGTATCATTTGTCGGATAGATATCTTATTTCTGCTGCAGTTTCTCGCTGCCTTCTANTTTCCTGTTCTCACTTTTGTCCTTCTCGATGATTACTGAAATGACTGCGATTGGAAATCCGTGCTAGACTCGTATTGTTATGCAATTCATGCAACAACGTTTTTGGGGAAACCCCCTAAGTTTAAATTTGATTTAAGCAAGTTCTAATGTAAACTGAGGTTGGATCGCCTCATCTGTATATAAGGCCATCTCCAGCCCTTATCTCTACTCTAGCGCGGACTTTACTCTACTCTAGAGTAGAGTTAAACATTCATCTCCAGCCCTTATCTCTACATTTTACTCTACATTAAATATATTTTTTTTATTCATTTTTTATTTCAAATAAATTGGTATATATGTATATTTAATCTTAAATAAAATGTTAATTACTCAAATAATAAAAATATATTTTATTTCGAATAATTTACTATATATATGAATATGTAATATTATATAAATGTTTATTACCCAAATAGTAAATAATTAGTGCAAATTTACACACTAGACCATATATGGTTTAGACCATATATGAATTACTGCAAATTTACACACTAGACCATATATGGTTTAGAGCATATATTCACATTTAAAAAATAATTGTAATAAATTGAATTTCTTAAAGAAGATACATATACATCTATGTACCGATTGAATCAAAACTGTTACTTTTGAAAATATATGAATTAGTGCAAATTTACACACTAGACCATATATGGTTTAGACCATATATGTCATCTTTAATCATGTTGTGTTTATTTGTGTGTTAAGTCATTTTTAATCATGTTGTTTTTATTTATGTTCTATGATTTTATGTGTGTTGTAAACTTAATTTTAATGAAATAAACTTGTTTGAGTGTGTTAAATTTTTATTCATATAGTATCATTTTAATATTAAAAAATTGCAAAATAAAATTATAATACATCAATAAATAAAAAGCACAAAATTATTTAGCATAAAAAATACATTACACAATTATTTAGCATAAAAAATACATTCACTAATACACATTATACAAAAATTTATCAATAATATTACAATAAAAGGAAAGCAAAAAAAAAAAAGAAATGTAACGCTGCTACAGTGTTGCGCCAGATGTGGCGCAACACTGTAGCTTTCTCCAAAATAGAGCTAATTTGTGGCGCAGCATTGGGGAGGGATTTTCGCTACAATAGAGTAGAGATGAGCTATGTGGCGCAGCATTGCGGAAGCTCTAAGAAACAACTCGGAGTTTGTCAGTTCAACTTTTTAGAGAGTAGAATCAACCTCCCTCTTCTCTAATAAATGCGGGGTATTTATACTATAAAATTCACATGTACAATTTTCGAGGTTCGCATGTTACTAACATGATTATCATTTAATGTGATTTAATGGGCAATGTGCAGCACCACCAAGTGGGTTCCACACTAAACAACAGCATTTTCTTAGGATAACTGACATGATTTTTCTGCATTTATTGTTCTGTCTGACCACCATAGGGGCTTTTCATGATGTAGTATCCGAGCATTTCATATGGTCTGTCTTCAGCCTTTAAATTGTAGTGCTTCATAGTCCAACCTCCAAATAACTTGGTTGGAGGCCTTGGTCTGGATTCTGTTATCGTCTGAGCTTTCCTAATAAAATGGAAAAGTCTGGTTAGTCCGTCAGATTTACTCATTAGAAATCGATTGTTGGTTTGATGCAACTACTATATCACTGTCATCACTACTATATCACTACACCTTTGTAGTTTTCTCATAATCTGGTTTTCCCAGATACACAAATACACTCACCATACTTGATTGTATACTCATTGTACAAGTTCTTTAATAAAATTCTAAAGAAACAATCTCCTCGTCGATCGGCAACATCAGTGTCTCGCTCTTTTTTACGCATATTCATTCTATCTCAATCTTTTATATTTCGTATTATTAAAATTTACCATAAATATTTCTTAACCCACGATTAAACCGTCTTAAACATATTTTCAGTAACTGTTGGTGACCCACCGTCAACAACGCTCATCAAGGAGGTCGTTATGTACTTACATTATCGTCCTTAAAAAATGAAAAAGCGAAGAAAAATTGCAAAAATTAGGTGTTGAACCCAAAAACTCAAACCGAATACCCAGTGAAACTTTTTTTTTTTCCTACCCAGTGAAACTTAAAAGCTTTTAAATGTTAACATGTTCAATTAAAAAAACCCTTTTCAAGATTCCACACCGTCATTTTGACCATGTCTACTCAACACAACAACTACTTATGTCATTTATAGATTATAGGAACACATTTAATTTAAGTTATAACTCCTTAAAATTAATTGAATAATAAGTAAGTTATTAGAAGAAAACTAATTTAATAAACATGTGATTGAAAACTAATTTATAACTTCTTATAGCGTTGCACCACATGTGACTCGATCAACCAGGGAGCACAGAATCTCGTAAGCCCGATGCCAATTAAAATCCCCAGAAAAAATTAATCAAAGAATTGAAAAGGGGGAAAAGAAAACGAAACGAGAAAAAAAGAGAGAGAGAGAATGGTTTCTTCTCAAGCTATGGAGGTTTTGATGAGTGAGCTCCCGGTGGAGCAGGAGAATCTTGTTCTCTCCGGTGCGCACAAGTCCGGTTTGGTGCTTGTTGACATCGTCAACGGTTTCTGCACTGTTGGTTCCGGAAATCTGGTGAACTCTTACATTTATTTTTTTCTTTATGTGTTGGATTATGTTCATGCATATCTAATTTCATTATTAGTATTCCGTTTTTTGGGGGAGCTTTTTTGTTTTTCGTTGATTGGAATAATGCCGCGCAATATTGAGCTTCTCTGAGTTGATTTTGTTTGTTAATGTGTGATATTGTGTCTTTTTGTCGTATTGATTTATGTGTTCATGGTGTTTGGAACTTTATTTGGATTATGGTGTTTGATTCTCACTTTTGTTAACAAATCAATTTCGAAAACAGGCACCACGAGCTTCTGACAGACAAATTGCTCGAATGGTTGAGGAATCAGTAAAACTCGCCCGTGAGTTTCGTAATCGGGAGTGGCCGATATACGGCTTGCTCGACTCTCATCATCCGGACATTCCAGAACCACCTTATCCTCCTCATTGTATTATCGGAACAGAGGAGTCGAGGCTGGTCCCTTGTAAGAAATAATTCCTCGACTATTTGTTTTAAGTAAAATTCCCACCTTTTTTTTTTTTTTCTTTTTTTTTCTTTTGCAGCTCTACAGTGGCTGGAAAATGAACCGAATGTGACACTTAGGCGCAAGGACTGTATCGATGGATTTCTTGGTTCGTTTGATAAAGATGGGTCAAATGTCTTTGTGGATTGGGTCAAAGCCAACGAGCTCAAAGTTGTGAGTACTTTTATGAATTACCTCTCTTGTTCCTCTAAGATAGACGCCATTGTACATTGTACATTTTTCAGTTGTTTATTTACTTATATTGTGAGTTAGTTTTAAAATTCGACTGAAAATGCGTCTCTTAAATGCAGCTATTTTTAATATTTAAGTTCTAGAGGCATTTATTTCAGGAGAAGCATAAGAAGAAACATGATGGAATAGCAATTGCAAAGTCATTTAATATGTTTTCTTTTCTTTCTTTCTTTTAAAAATCTGCACAAGTCTATCTTAGTTGAACAGATGGATTAAAAATGTAAAATTATAAAACTGAATGCTCTTACTTTTTTTTTTTTTAAATGTTTAAAAGAGTTAATTACAAAAATTGCGGTTCGGGTTCTTTCTAAGCAAACTACTTTCTTTTCTCAAGATATTGGTTGTAGGGATTTGCACAGACATATGTGTCCTAGATTTTGTCTGCTCAACATTGTCTGCAAGAAATCGTGGTTTGCTATCTCCACTCGAGGATGTAGTTGTGTACTCTCATGGTTGTGCTACCTATGATCTTCCTCTACATGTTGCCCAGAATATCAAAAGCGCTCTAGCCCATCCTCAGGTTTTTGTCTATCTCACTTGCTTTCCAGTAACCCATAATTGTTGATTGCAAGAACGAGTGTCATACTTGTTCGTCCTTACTGTCTTGTTTAGCCTCAAATATTGAGGCCAAAACATGCAAATTGTGAATGTATGTTACATTATTTTTATAGTAGACCTCTAAAGCATGGTTGGTTTTAGTCATGAACTTGTTTTTGTCGATTTCTTGAATTCGCTCGATTGTTTTAATCTATTGAAGATGCCTAAACTTATCATCTGCAGGCTTCAGTGTTTTATGTCTAACTAGTTTCTTTGTGTGTGTGTGTGTCTGTGTGTGTGTTTCAAATACCATTTGTGATATGTTTGTTGGTTAGTATACTAATGGCCATATAATTTTTTGAAATTGCCTAGATCTAGAGCTGAAGATTGTTCCACATTGAACGTAATATTAGCTGTTGCATATCTATCTGTTGCAATCTGTTGCAGGACATAATGCATCATGTGGGACTTTACATGGCCAAAGGCAGAGGGGCAAAAGTGGTATCAGAAGTTTCGTTTGGTGCATAGCAGTTTAATCTGCTCATTGTGTATAGAATTCCGTAGTCTTGGTCAGTGTTTCTCGACTATTCGATGATATGTTTTTCATCAATATAATAAAGTTCTCAATGTGTTATTGCTGAAGAGCATTGAGTCACTTTTCAGTTAAATGTGTTGGTAGGACAGTTATGCCTTCTGTTTAGAATTGGTATTGAACATTGTCTGCATTGTATGATTGATTCAAGAAAAAACAAGTTGGTTACTTTTACAATTACTCGGGAGTGTTTTTACATAACATGTGTTTACTGACAATCATTTTTCTTTTCTTTTCTTTTTTCCCTAAACAGTAGGTCTTGTATTAGGTCAGCCTAACTAGGCCAGATATGCATATTTTTATTAGAAAATGTCATACTTAAGAAATATATCATAAACATAAGTATAACAAAGTATGACATTTGGTAGTATAAGTATGCATTTTTTTATGGAGTATGATTGGTCGATCCGCTTAATGATCAAGGCTGCATTGGTGAATGTCGTGCCATCCCAAGTTTGTAGCCCAAGGAGGGCTGGTCAAAGACTCTCCGACCTTGGTGATCTTAATATCCTAGTCTTGGGGGAGCTCGACTTCGTGAAGTAGATTGAAAATATTGTTGTTTGAGTAAAAGGTGGTGGGGTTTGGTTTGACCACCGTCACCGACGAAGAGATGACCTCCGTCTTTTTTGTCTCTGACTACGGTAACTTGGTCTTTTTGGCGGCCAGAGAGAGGTAGAGCTAAAGAGATGTCTTTGGACGATTCGATTAGGGGTTGTTGAAGAAGAAGTATGGTTGGAGTTCAACATGGTTGTTACGAATTTCTAAATAAATAGAGAAGGATGAGGGGTTGTTGAAGAAGAAGTAGGTCGGAGTTCAACATGGTTGTTAGGAATTCCTAAATAAATAGAGAAGGATGGGAGTTGCTGGAGGTTTAAGAGGAAAGCTACAGAGTAGAAAAAGGGATGAGAAGATAGAGAAAAATAAAGTGAGAAAGGATTTAAGAGCACGTACCAATGAAAATACTCATCTTCGTGGCGGGAAGGATGACCGGAGAATGGGCTGTAAAATCGCCAAAAAATTGCAAAGATTACAGGTGTATTTCTTGCAAAGGTGAGTTCTCGAAATGTGCAGAAGGTAAAAAGTGAAAAGATCATATTTGCGTAGCTTTATAATGACAAGGAAAAGCGCAAAGGTCGAGGTCGTAGCCGTCAGATCAAAAGTCGTCTAGGTGGTTTGGATTTGATCAAAGGCGATGGATTTGGCAGATGCCAAAGGTCGGCGGATTAGAAGCATTGATTTTGAAAAAGGATATATTGTGCATATAAAAATAAGCATGCCAAGGGTTTCTGAAAGGACCTTTCTCACAGGTGCGATTATCAAGGTCGCGCGTTTTAAGGCGCTAAAAAGTCTGGAAGTTAGCTGGACACACAAAGAGAGTTCTTGCACAAGTCTAAGCAGCTCGTTCAATAATGGAGGGGCTAGATGATATAACACTCAGAATAGCTCGGTGAACCAGCTAGAGCAGGTAGCTCGGTCGTGGCCAGTCCAAGGGATCCCACCCCATCTTTGATACATATACATGTCAGGAAGCTCTCTTAGGCAGCTCAGGGTACAAGTTGATACAACTTAGGTAGTTCGGAGGTCGAGAGACCTAGGGAGCTCGGATACGAGAAAGGCCTCATAGCCTGTAGGTCATCGAGGTCGAGGTCGTGGCATGACCTAGATAGGACCTATGGCAGGTAGGTAAGGAGGTCGAGAATGTGACCTCAAGACCTAGGAGTCTTGCTGTAAGAGGAGAGAGAATTCTTCATATATGAAAAGTGTATGCTGTTAAGAACTCACAGATTCTAGAGACGTGGCAAAGTTAGGAAAGTTTCCTAACTAGGACTCTCTTGATCATCAAGTTATCCTAAGTATATAAATGTAACCAAGTTCTCTACTTTACATACCACACATACACGCGCGAGTACTTATATACATGATGTAAGAATCGTGGGAGGACCGAACTCCTGAAATATAGAGGTGATTTTTTTTTTTTTTTTCCTATCTCAAAGGCTACATGTTGTAAATGTGGAAGAAACTATTTTATTCGGTATGTAAATTATATAACTATTTCTTTTTTAATTTCATAATTTCATGTGTTGATGTTATTCAATTTCAAATGTGTCTGAGTTTAGATCCAACAATCCAATGAAACAAGCATTCTACCAATTTTGATAAAACAACTTGAAGGAGTTGCAATGCTAATGAGTGTTTTTTCACTTATACATTTTGGGTGTGTTTGGTTGCAATAATGAATTGAGCTTGATTAGTTCTTGTTAGACTTATTCGCTTTATGCATTTGATACACAATAAAGCTCATTAACATGTTTTGTTTCAAAGTTGATAACAATAATTAAAATACAACATTGCATTTTTTCTCCATATTAAATTAAATTTGCAAATGTTGCCCTCAAGACTTATATTAGACTCGAAAGTCAAAAATGAAAAAAATAAAACTAATAAAAATATTTTTCGTAGCCTGAATTGAGAAAAATTTTCACGCATGGAAAAAAATTTATACCGCCCAACCTCCACCACTAGCCCCATCAACCTCGCCACCACCATAACCACCATCACATGCATGAAAACATTCTCCATCCTCTCGATTTTCATCCGGTCCTATTCTCATAATAACCCTCTGCCACCGCCTTTTCGACCCCATCAATCGCATATCCTTCTCTCCACCACCGCTACGTCAGCCACTATATCGCTGTTTGGCGCACCCTCATCTCCCTTCTCCGTGCAATTTCGCTCCACACAGATTTCGTTATTACGAAATCGTTTCACCACCGAAACCCTATCCGCATCACGGTCACCTTCTTCTTACTCCACCATCGTTGTCGGAGATATGGAATAACACATACCTGCGGCTAGTTCATGATTATCCTGCGTGAAGCCCTATCTTTGCAGAGAAATGACGAACCCGAGTGCAATTGAAACAAAAAAAAATATATATATATAGGGATATTTACGGACTTTGAAGAAAAAATATGATACATTGCACATCCCATATAGGAGGTGGGATATGGTATGGTGAAAAGTTGTGATAAAAAAACCAAGCTTTAGCCTATTTTATGGGCTTAGCATATTTGAACCAAACATTCTAATGTGTATGAAATATTAGAAAATTGTGTTATATGACATCTATAACATCCAACTAAACACACCCTTAAAATAAACGATTACATCAATAAGAGTAGACATATATATAATTGAATTGTGCTTGGATACATATTTTTCCAAAAAATTCTAATAATTTTTAATCAATCATTTTTTTAACTCAAATTTAACTCAACACCACTATCCTCAATATTATCAATATAATTAAATAATACCACTCAATCATTATTACACATTACATCAACTTTAATTCACTATTCATCCCATCACATAGTTTTAACTAACTATCACTTCACATCATTTCTCTCTTACTTTTACACTAAATCAATTTTATTTATTTTATTATAAATATTATTTTAATATAAACTCAAAATTCCACTAACAACTATCCATACTATTTTTTTTTTTTCAAAATTAATCATACCAAATCAAAAAATCCAAACAAAAATCAAAATATTTTATATCCGAGTAAAAGTTTAGGATAAACAAGATCGGTTGCATGAATAAATGAAATATTAAATTGTTGGATATCATAAAAAACTCAATGTAAAGATATAAATAATTAATGCTAAATTGTTTATTTATATTAATCATGATTCATTCCCAAATTTAATTTATATGTTTCATCATTACCATTGGATTTTCAACATGGTCTCAAAGCCCAACGGCCCCAACCCGATTTGCACTCACTTCATTGTAATATGGACCTTTAATTAACTCTTAACGGCTATTAGATTAGATTATGGGATGAGAAGCCAACTCTATTAAAACGACCAACGAACAACCTCTCAAATAAATTCAAAACCCCAACGGCTATTTATCATTCTCAATCAAAACCCAACTCCTTTTCTTTTTCCCTTTTTTTCGTTTTCACCCTTCAAAGTCTCTTTAACAACAAATCTCTCTGAGAAAGTCTGTAGAAAAAGTAAAAAATCAAGAACTGAGCTATACCCACTTGAAATCAAAGTTCTTGGCATCCAATGCGAGCCCCTGTCATTGCATTTGGGCTTGAATTTATCGACATCTTGTTTAAGGTAATTATCATGCGCACCTTCAAATTTTTTTTTATCTTTTTTCCTCTTTGTGTGTGTCTGTGCGCATTCATGTTCTTTGGGTTACTTGAAATATTAAGTACTGATTCTGTAAATTATATGTTGTTTTTCACTTTTGTGCGAGAGTAATTACATTGTTGTTCACACCACAGTTTCAAGATTTGGGCATTTCTCATCTATTTCTTGGGATACTAAGATTTAGGTTTATCAGGTGAACTAAGATTTTCATGCTGCTAAACACATTAGTTTTGCCTGCCTGAAATTATGGAGTGAATAACTTTTGAGGTATGCGGTTAGTTTTTACTTTACCAGAAGCATTTTGATCCTCAAATGAATAGTTGATATATTCGATTCACGGTGTGGATTTGGTTTGATTTACCTGATGAGGATATTATGACTTGATAGATCTTTCCATTAGGTATTTAGAGCTGCTGAGGAAATACAAATTGGTTGCTTCATTTGTTAGGTTGTTTGAGTTCAAAGCTCAGTCTGAAAAGCATGGTGTTTTTCAAATCTTGCTGAACATTCTTATTATGGACAAACACATCATGCTATAGGGCTAGCTACAAAGAAAATATGAAAGCTTTGAGGTTTGCTTAGCCTAATTGTTAAAACAAAACTATCTAGCTTTCAAAAAATTACATACCGTACTCGTTTCTATTGTACAACTGCACCAGCAAAAAGGTCTTGAGTAGTCTATAATAACCTTAAGGGAGGAATCTTTATAATGCATTAATGGAGCATTTATAATTTTAAAAAAATATGTGGATTTTTTTCTCTTTTTTACAATCAGGCGTAACCTCAGGATAGTTCTTGTTACATTAGAATATGAATTCAAACAGTAAGTTGCGCAGTTTTAAATTGGGTATGATGGCTCGTGCAAATGCAGAAGCGTGCCTCAAATTCGGGCAAATAATCGTGTCACAGTTTCCTTATTTCTTCATTTTTTTTCCATTCTCTTTTGTATTCATTGTTAGACGCCATAATCTGAATGATAGTTCATAGTTTGGCTCGCTCTTATAATTTTTCAAGAAACTAATGTTCTCCTTGCTGCTAATATTGTTTTTTTACATTTCCAAACAGGGCTTATCTCCATATATTATCCTAAAGTATTGAAAATGGCTGCTGTTGTTTATGAAGAACTGGACGAGGCTAAAGCCGAGATTGAAAGGCTCAAGAAGCAATACCAAGTCAAAGCAGAATTAGCCGAAAGCTTAAAGAGAGCCCACATTGACCAACTAAGCAAGAACAAGGAAGCCTGCTCAGAGCTGGAAAAGCTAGCTCGAGAGCTTAATCAAAAGGATGAAGAGATTTCTAATGCGAGACAAATTTACGATGATCTAAAGTCTATTTTGGCCGAAAAGGAATCCATCATAAGGCATCTCTCATCCTCCCATGAAAAACTCCGACTCGACTGTAATGAAAAGCTTAAAAAATGTGAAGATGAGAATAAAGCACTAGCATTGGCTTTGGATGATGTAGATGCCAAAAACATAGATCAAGAACGGCAGATTTGCGCACTTAAGCAAGAAATCGAAGGTGCTAAGCGTCTTTTCACATCTTCTGTGAAGAAGTGCTCGGAACACAAGAACAGGACAAAAGCTTCGGAAAAATTCGAAGCAAGGGAGGATGAGTTTTTCAAATTAGACGAGGAAAAAAGAAATTTCGAAGACCAGCTGAAATGGAAAAGGGAACAGTTTGTCCATTTGCAAGAAGCCCATGAAAAGCTTCGGAATGAATATAAAACGAGAGAAAAGGAGTGGGAAAAGGATAAAGCTGCACTCCTTGACGGGATTTCGACTCTACAGACAAATTTGGAGTCTCAAACTAGAATTTCAGAAAATCTCGAGCGCAGGCTTGAAATGTGCAATCAGGCACTAGCTCATGCAGAAAGCAAGCGCAAACAGTTGGAAGTTCAACTTTCGGAATCAAGAACGAGTCTTGACAGCGTTTGTGCGGAATATGACGAAGCCAAGTTGAATTTCGAGAACATGACCATTCAAAGGGATATAGAGATTGGAAATCTGAGAAGCTCTTTGGGCACAAAGGAGATACTATACAAAGAAATGGAGTATCAGTTTAAGAAATCTGAGCTAGAAAAGCAAGAGCTGTTGGCTTCCTTAAAGGAACTCCGAGAGCAACAAATTCGGGAGTCGGGATTCTCTCATTCGTCCTCTAAGCTTCAAAACAAGCTGAAATCTTTAGAACAAGTCCACAAAGGCTGCTTAACAAGTCTCAAGGCTAAAGAGTCTGAATGGCAGGCCCAAAGAAAGAAACTGATAGACGAACTAAATTCTTGCAAGGGGGAATTGAAAAATAAAGATACATCATTGAGTGAGCTCAGTCGAGAGCTTGAAACTTGTAATTCTTTGATAATCAAGCTGGAACTAATAAATCAGGAAACCTCACTGCTTCTATTGGTTCTGAAATCGGAATTTTTGAAGAACAAAGATATGCAAGAATACATGCATGAGTTAGTGAAGCAGTTGGATAAAAAGAAAATGGCTGTTGATTGCATCCAGAAAGATCTCGAGGATGAAAGAGAGAAAGTCGTGAATTTGTCTGAAAAGGTGAAAGCCCTGGAGAATTTGCAACTTCCTCTTCAGAATGAGGTGGAAAGGCTCAAGGGCATGCTTGAAGAATCAGAAAAGTGCCGAATGCAATCCGAAGAGCAATTAGTAAAAATACAATGCGACTTGAAACAGGCGAATGAAGAGCTTTGTGAAAAATACGCTGAGGCAAGTGAAATCGAATATGAACTGCAGATATGGAAATCGATTGCCGAACAAATGGAGGTCAACCTCAAACATAACCTTCAGATTCGCTGTGATGTCGAAGCTTCCCTTTTCTCACAAATGGAGGTTGAGATGAGTCTTAAGCAAGAGAGAGAAAACCTCAGGCTTACACTTGAAGAGAAAGAGAAACAAATAGACGATCTCAAGCATCATCCGGTTGAAGAAGAAAATAATACAGCAGAAGAAGAAGAAAATGAGGCGAAAAGAACTTTTTACCAACTAGTGGAGGAGAAGGATCAGAGGATATACGAGCTTCAGAAGCTCGTGGCTTCCTTGGAAAAGGAGTTCGAGAGCTCAACCTCGAATTTTTCTTCCAAACTGTCGAAAATGCAGAGAGAACGAAATGTGTTGAGTGAATCGTGGGAAAAAGTCAAATCGGACAAAGAATTGGAGGAGATGGAAGTTCAGGAGAAAATTAGGGATTCGGAGAAAACAATTGAGAAGTTATCGTCCGAAAACAAGAAGCTGGAAAGCATGATTTGTTTGTTGTTTGAGAAAATGGATGAGTATAAAACGGAGGAGGATTTGAAGCTGATGGAAAGCTTAGGAAAGATTGTAGCAGGTTTCGAAAATGACAAGGATGATGATGGTGATGATGATGATGATGATGATGCAGTAAAGGAGAATGTGAATATTGTTTTCTCATCATCGCCATTGATGAAAAAAGTCGAGGCCATTCGTGATGAGAGGTCACCGTTGAGAGCTATCAACTGTTGACTGTTTGGAGACAAGTTTTAAGTTGAGTTTCCATCTATAACTTATTTGATTTTCATTGCCACTTTTGTTCATGTAGATTGAATTTATCTGCTCGGAAGATAGAGTTTGCTCTTGTTCTCTATAAATATGATTCTCAAGGAAAAACGCTTTTCTCTTGGTATAATATGCAGCAGAATGTTTTCTATATCAGAATAACAGAAGGCTCCCTCTTCTTTCCATGTTAAATCAATATCAGGGTAAATATGACTGTTATTTTTCGAAGATTTTAGAAATGGACATCATTCTATCTATATTTCTGAAAATTATAGAAACACCTTTTTGAGACCCAAGTTTCAAATTTCCCTATTTTTATTTTCTTTTCTTCTTTTAGGTAAATATGAATGTTATTTTCTTTACTTCCTTAAGTAAACAAATGTTAAATTGATGCACATGGAAAATATGGAAGAAGACAACCTCAACAGCTGTCCTTTGAAGACTTTGCTCTTATTTTCCTGGTTGAATTGATGCACATGACTTTTGGCTTTGCTTTTTTGCTCCAAATTAGCGTGCTTGAATGGACTTATCATAACATGTGGATCAATTATGAGCCATTCATACACATAAGAAACAAATTTTACTAGTTCAGATTTTAGAATAGTTTAAAATCAAATATTGTTTGTGATGTAGTTAGTACGTAAACCCGTCATATNTTAATCTAAGTGACAAAGTTTCTTTTTTGAGCACCCAACATTAAATTGAATCTCCGGAGTGTGGTGGAATTTTTAATATGAGAGACATACACTTATATCAAACGGTTTTGGATATAAATAAAATCAACTTTCATTAAATTTATTGATTAAAATGAGTCAATTTTGAATAAACTTAAATAAATTGAGGATTGAGTGGGATTTTGAATTTGTATATAAATAATATTTGAAATATAATGATTAAAGTTGATGTGATTTAAAAGTATGAAAAAAATTATGGTAAGTGATAGTAATTAAAAATATAAAGTTTAGTAATAATAAATTAAAGTTGTTGTATATATATGTGAAAATAATTGAATAATATTATTTAATATATAGATAATATTAAGGAGAGTAAAAATAGTTAATGTTTGTAGTCAATCGCGTCCCTCATCGCTTTTATTGTTTCAGAACGTAGTGATGACATTATAGTTGTCCCTAATCGCTTTTATTGTTTCAGAACATAGTGATTCCAATCAAACAACTTTTGAAGTCACAATTTTGTTGTCATTCCTCCCTATATATTAATTGAGAACGTGCTGAGCCTGTGTGGCAGGCTCGCATGCTTCGGGATCCTATGTGACAAAAATACATGCTTCGTTATTAGGCTTGGGTAGATTTAGTTTACTTCTAATCCAAATATATTTAAGTTTGGATTATCTATAATATGTTGATTATTTATGGTAAGGGTGGGCGCCGGCCGGGACGGTCTTGAATTTGACTTGTCCGGATACCGATCCCACTTTTATGAATCCGTCCATGAACGAGGCACCGTCGGCAACCATGTAATACATGGGTGTTGTACTAGTTTCCTTTATTTATGAGAAAACTTTTTTTAAGTATGGCTTCGGTAAATTTCCTCATTCATTTGATCTGGTCGGTTTCATAGATTAGTAGCATCAAAGTGGTCCAAACATTGGCTACATTCGCATTTGTATTATCGCCACGTACAAAGAAAATAACCACCATAAAATTGAGTGTGGTACTCTCCCTTGAATTGTACCTCGTGGTTATCATGCATTAGACAAACCTCATCCTAGGGACAAAGCAATAGTATTAAGATTCAAAATCGATTTACATATCTTACTTTTGTCTATATAATTATAAATATTTGGATATCCATGATTGAAAAGATGATTAATTATGTGACTTTTAATTCACCCGAAAACTTGAAAAACGGACCGAATAAATAACCTGGTCAAGTTTAAAACATTATATAAAAAAATGATTTACCATGAGAAGAGAAATAATTATGGGCAATAGACAAAAACTAGTACAGATCCTGTGCGATGCACGGGGTGCACAAAATTAAGGCTATTTATCAAGTTTTATAATTATATAAATGAATAAAGAAAAATATACAGGATATATATAGTACGTGACCTGTAATAGGCCAAAATGTGAACACGGGTGATGCACGGGGTGCACAATTTTAAGGTCATTTATTAGTACAGAGTCCGTGCGATGCACGGGGTGCACAATTTTCTAGTATGTGTAATACAAATACATACCGTATGGTCGGAACAGAAGCACTAAATGAGTTATTTCCACATAGCTTGCCGGTTAAGTAGCTCCTGAACACGGATGCACAATTTGTAGTACGTAATATAAAATCAGAACAAATTTCCATACAATTAGATAATAAATTAGATAATAAATAAAGCCTTTTTATTTTAATAAAGATTTTACGTATTTTTTTTTACTTATCGGATGTTATGGGATTTTTATTGTTAAACTGATTTTATCGGATATGATACAAATACAATTAGAGGATTACACAAAATCAGAACAGATTTTTATACAATTAGATAATAAGAATGAATTAGATAAGGAAAAAAAGAAATTAGATAAAGAATTTTGAATCTACCTTTTTTTAGTATAGATAGACTTTACGTATAAATTTTGACTTCACCGATTTTATAAGATTTGTTTTGACAAAATCGAAAATGAATACTGAAGACTATTTCTATTAACATTTACAATGTGTATTTAATGTTTTTTTTTTTTGGCAAAATATTCTTTTTAAGTGTGATATATAAATATTAAAAATACTTAAAATATTTTATAACATCTATAAAAGCATCTAAAATATTCTATATTATTCACAAATAATGTTTGAAGCTACCTAAATTTTTCTAAACTACCCGTAAAGAAAATATGTCTAAAAATTCTTCATTTAAACTTCATATATGTATATATATATAGAGAGAGAGAGAGAGCAAATGTGTAAAAAAAAATTATACAAATAATATTTAAAAGTATCTAAAATATTACTAATGAGACAGGTGAAAATTACATTTTCAAAAAATCTATATAGATAATGGATTTATAGTAGTAATTAAACTTTTATTTATTTACGTTTAAAGTTGTTATGATAGATGAGGGATGTGATTTTTTTTTACTTGTGGAGATGGAATTTTATAAGCTGGGTTATGAAATTTTCTTAAACTCGTCCATGCGATGAGTTTTTTAAGCTGGGTATATAGATTTAAAATTGTTAAAAAAAAAAAAAATTCATAAATCATTTGATTTGGTATTTTCAGAGAGCTTCATTAATTTAAAAGTGTAAAATAAATAAATAAAAAATGTACAACTGAAAAAGTTACAACCAATTGTATGGAGAATTAAACTAAATCCAATTTTGTAGGATGCATTAAATATTGATTAAATTTTATATGTAAAATAAAATAAAAAAATAACTGGAATAGTTGTAAGTGTTGCAATATTTTATATTTAAAAAAAATAAAAAATCTTCATTTACGTATTGCATACCTACATTTTAGGAACTACATAGATATTCCTAAATTAATATTGCATACCCAATATTTTAGGAACTAATTAAATGCTAATTTAATTTGCATACCAAAAATATTAGATGCATTAATTAAATGATTGATAAAAATAGCAAATCATTAATTAGGATTGACTATTCTACATACTACATTTAGTAAATAGTACCCTCTTTAATATAAGTATAGATAGATTAGCTGATTATTTTCTACAAATTTATTTTCTGTTAATTGATTAATAAATAAAGACAATCAAGTTTACATTAGTTCGGATAAAATCAAATTCTTGTTTGGTTTCTTTTGATTTGCTATTAAAAGTGATTTTCGTTACTAATTAAAAAAATCAATGAAAATTAGTAAAAAGAAAATGTAAGATGTTGGGTGCAAGTTTAGTGTGACATAAACACCTCGCATCACGACATGCGTTGGTTTTACATTCAGTTGGAGTGATTCCTTAGCAGGTTTGGTTATACTTATGTGTTGATTTCTGCACTTTTTGATTGATTTTTTTTTTTTTTTTTTTT